TCCTACTCTGGCAGGGAGATAACACAGAGGCTACTCCATGCGCCGTGGATGCCAAAGTGAAACAATGGGGGCTCCCCCAAACCAAAGCTCCCCCCTCCACACACACACACACACACACACCCCTCCTGCCAAACAATGGTAGTGCCCACAGCCCTCCCACTCCCCCGCCGGTGGGCGGGAGTGTGCTCTCCGTCTGTGCGGGGGCCCCGGGAGCACGGCAGATGGCTAATTGGACACCGCGGCACGCCAGGGCTAGTGGTAAGAGTGGGAGATGATTTGCGGAGATTATTGAGTCATGATCTGACAAGGAAGTGAAAAGCAAAGAGGGAAGTAAGACCCCCCCCAACCCTATCCATTCACTATCATCACCACCACCCTGTTTCAGCTGTTCCCCACCTCGAAACTGCCTGGCCATATGCCACTAGTGTGGAGAGGGATGGGTGAGAGACGGGGAGGTAATGGGGTCAGAGCTTATTAGTCCGGCCATTACTAAATGGGCTTTCAGAGAAATTGATAAAGCAACCTCCATGCGACGTACGTTCAGCATTGGCGCATTTAATGCACTGGCGTTTGGTTATTCTTTTAACAGCCTACTGCGGCTGCAAGGTTCACAGTTTTAACTAGATTGCCTTTATTTCAAATGTATAAATTCTGGCTAGGCTTCCTTTACGACGCACATTGGCCTGTGTGATCCATATGGCATAAATATTTTGCATCCCGTCGCATGCCTACGATGCAGCATCATAAAACGAGGATGACTTTTATTTCATCTCGGTCGATTAGAAGGTTGCTCTCGGCAGTTGCATGGTGTGTGAACATTTATGCACTTAATGACGATAAACACAAAAGATTAATTTTGACTCATTAAAGCTGGATTTAAGACGTTGCGTTATCGTTTGGGGAAATGAACAGATTTGCGATTATGGTCGCAAATAGTGCAAATGTTCAGGCTAAATTGTAAAGCTGAAATGCTAATTGTTTTTAATTGATGTGATTAAGCAGGAACCGGGGCAGAATTAATACTATAGATTGCAGTTTACTGGGAAATGTTTTTTGGGTTTATGGTAAAGCGTGCTGCCCCCACTCAGATTGTATCCACCATCCTGACCAGGTCAGCGGCTGTGCAAATCAGATGGATGTGTGGACTGTTTAACGTCATACCCATGTAAATGATCATGTGACACATATATTTTTAAGATGGAAAATGTTCTTTGGGGGTATGTTAGCTGTCATGGCCGACTGAAGCATACCGGATGCTCACACTGTACTTAAGCTGTTAACTGGTTACTAATGACTTAAGTCGTTACTTTGTCACTTAAGGGATTAATTCAGGCACCTAGCTGGTTACCAATGGGGTGAGCTTTATTCAGACAGCATGTGAGATGGTGGTTGGTGTGTTTGTTGTAGATTTGAACCTGCATCAGAAAGTCACTGCATACGTTCACAAGTGAACCAGGTCCTTAACCTGCCAACTCCTAAAACAATGCTTCACCGGATAAACACCCAAGTGTTGACACTACATTTGAGTTATTCTGGATAAGAAAACACAAAGCCAATAATCTCTGTCTTATTAGTAATTCAGGAAGGGCAGAGGTGATTTGCAGGAAAACGGTACAGATATAGTCTTCAGTGCTATTCAAAATTCTATCCTGCACAATAATATTGCAGTCAAGACTTGTGTCAAACTCTGGATATATGAGAAGGATTCATAGATATTGGTGGACTTCGCGGATAGAAATCATGCTCTTTAAATAAAAAAGGCTCCTACTATGTTTCAGTAGAAGTTGTTTTTTTGGCAAAATTCCACCACCCACTTGAACCTGGAATGCGCTGGATTGTTCTTTTTTCCGGACACATGTCAGTAGCAAGGATGGAGAGCAAAATTAAGGATTTACGCTGAATTTGCACTGCATGTTGGTGTCTTACTCTTTTTATTGTGTAAAAGAACTATACCGGCAACCCCCATACCCCCCCCTCCGCCCCCGTGAACACTCTGTGGGGCAGAAATGACTCACAGTCAGCCACAAGGTCACATGGGACAGAGCTGGACTGCGCTCATACATATTTAATCTCCTGTTAGCCGCGGACTCCCTTGTCCTCCGCTCTGCACGTTTTGCTTTCCGTTTCGGCCGTGCTCGTCTGGCACGACGCAGCTATGTCAGAAATGCGGACCCCGATATGGTTACGACCAGCGCATGCATTTTTGGTTTACTTTAGCGGGTGGTTCAGGGTGCCGTCCTTCTGGATTATTTGGGGTCTGTGAATATTCCACGGCATTTAAAGGTCATTTTAAAAATTGGAACGCTCCAGAGACAGGAGCATTGTGGTGAAGCCCAGTCCGCAAATAGCGGTGGAGCAGGTTGCGGCGAGCGCTCCGATCGCTGGGAGAGAGACCAGGCGCTCCGATCGCTGGGAGAGAGACCAGGCGCTGCGCACCGACGGGCTACACAGCGCTACAATCACACTAATGTAGGCTACCAGCACCAGGAAGAGAAGGGGACACAAAAAACCCCCACACAACAGGATGACAGACAGTCAGAACAGAGATTTTAAGATCTCCCTGATTAGAGAGTCTTTTACGTACAGAACTCTGCAGTCCTTGGCCCAGAGACACGTGTATGTGTATTCTGTCCAAACTTTGCAGCCTAAGTTAGTAAAATGAGGTGAATGTATGTAGTTTATGGCTCCGAGATGCTAGGTTTGAAAACCCCTGGCTATGAAAAGGCAGGTTTCCTTCAGAATGGCTGTCCAAACCACCCTGATTACAGGCTTTTACAGCGGGAAGGAGGCATGAGACTCAGCGGAGCTGTAAGGGGGGCAGGGCTTACTGCCTCGTGCAGGGTCCAGTTGGCCCTTAGTGTTTAAGGCTGGGGTGTGAGACCAACGCAGGAATGTCAATATCCCTAACATTTTATGTGAGGGAAGCAAAAAAGAGTGAACATTTTATACACCGAGCGCTGAAATATTTTATGCATTTTTGGGATTGCTTAACCTCAAATAACCTTAAATCTCTAAGTTTTATGCTTGTTTTCCCTCCAAATTGTGAGATTTTCGAAAGATTTATATTCATAGTTATCTTATAGCCCCAGACTCCTGTTGCACATTGAGCTTTCGGCTACAGCAGACAGTGTTGCCCTTTTTGCTGTTTTACTGCGATTCTTGGCTGGACTTGGGACTCATTGACAGCTCCTTAGGGCTGGCTCATCCGGAGAAGCACAGCTGGGGTGAGAGCGCACCTTGGCCAGAGACCCGAGGCAGGTTTACTGTGAGACGATCAGACAGACATGTGAAGCACCCCTGTATCCGGTGATGGTCTGGCTCAGACCACAGCACCTCTTGCACCTTTACGCTGGGTGGGGGGGGGAGAAAACAGACGGTGGGAGGAGAACCTTGTTAATATGCCAGTTGCTCGGTTGCTCTGCTTTCTGTTTTATTAACATTCACGATGGATTAAATTATCCTACTGCTGCTGAATGCTACGGCAAACATGGACGTCCATTATGTGTTGCTATAATGAGATCTGTTTTGTTTTGTTTTACTTGTTACGCTGCATATTTTTGTGGTGTTCATTTTAACAATGATGAGAAGCTGCTTAGTACTGTATTACTGTAGGATGCCAAACAGTGCTATTAGAGAGTTTAGTGTAGCATGTTGCAGTTATATTTAGCGTTTGTTTAAATTGCACCAATAATATGATGAAGTATAAGACAATGTGTAATGGAAACATAGTCGGAGATGAGTAAAAATCAGGAAATTTGACCTATGGACAGCATTCCGCAGTTTTAGGCTGCGCCGCGAGTTCATCATGCAATGCTGTACAGCATTTTAAATTAGTTTACATTGGATGCACATTAACTTGACAGAGTTTTAGACCGTGGTGAATTACTCCGGGTTTCAGTTAAATTATATTGCCAAAGTTGCAATTCTAGACACATGAATGTGTGAAGCGGCTGCAGCGAGTGATTCGATAAATGGTGGAAAAGGCTTTTAAGTTACATTATCAGGTAAAACCATGCACATTGCATGCTGTAAATCAGGCTTCTGCCTGTGAGTTGCGGCGCTGCATCTGAAGTAGGTTTTATAATTGCATTGCAGTTATTTTTGGAGGGTCGAGTCACACACTGCCGGCTATTACGATGTCACTCCTGCTCAGTGTTTGCCAGATGTGTTGCCTTTTGTCTGTTAAAGCCCCAGGCTGTTAAACTTCCCCTGAAACATCTGGATGAGCGATTGATTCTCAGGGGACCCACTCATCCTAACCCTTTCAGTTGGGTAAGTTGGGGGAAATGCCAGTCAACAGACAGAGGCTGAATGCTGTGGGAACCTCTTCCAGAATATTCTCTTGGTCTCATTGTAAAATCAGGACGTTGAAGTATTTACAGACCCAGATGTGGAGGAACAATTCATTGCACATAATTGCATGTTATATTTACTGGATTGATAAATGAACTGGGAGGAACCAAACATGAATGGCAAAAGTCCCTGGTTAAAATACTCCCGTCCTGTATATTTCCACAAAATATCTTCCAGTTGGTTTATGTGCTTTCAGTTTAAATGCCCATTTTTGTATCAGCAGCCCCAAATCAAAGCTGACTTCTAAGGGAAAAGGGAAACGCCAGACTTCCTGTGGCCAAACCTAAGCAGGAAGTCCGGTAAAACGCGTAGAAAATGTGAAATTTGGCTGAGGCATTTATAACAGTGGCTAATCATGTAGTTCAGAGCCAAGGGCTATTGTGACAGAACTGGCACTGCTGGACAAACTGACTCACAGTCAAAACCTCAATTAGACGACTACGTAATGCACACCAACAGGCGTCTCAGATTGTTAGTATGAGATAATTGATAGGATTAAAGCATGACTTCTAGTTGAATGGCATGCTAATTTACAGTTTGTGCTAACAAGATTATCAATTACCTTAATGGTGAGAAGAAGGATGGGGTGTTTTTTTTGGCAGGGGGTGTTAATTGTCTCTCATTGTAGAGTAGAAGCTGACGGACATGTTATAGGGTATGAGAAACTGGAGGGAATGTGTGGCATTTAGCAATAATAACTAGCCACAGCAATTAGCAACAAGCGCAAAGACAACAAGTCCTTAACTGCATGTTGAACTGTAAGATATAATCTCTAAATTGCATCTTGGCATGTGCTAGACAGGTAGTAACAAAAAATTTTGATAGGGAGACCAGATTTTGGTAGATATTAGTTGTCTACATACAAGCCTATCCGTAAGCTTTGTTTCCTGGTTGGTAGGAGTATTTGGATGGAACCCAGTAGGTAGCTGGGGTCCAGAGGTCACATGTGTGAAAAATTGAAAATGTACGCACCCCCACTTCACTGGATCAGTAACTGAGAAAGGGCTGCGAATGCTCCTGCGCTTTACGGTGGACAACATGGTCCTGGTACTGGTTCTGATGTGGGCCTGTGAATCAAAAATCTTTACACTGGCCTGGCAAGTATTTGGATTCTAAGCTAGTGTCATTACTAAGTCTTTATTGATGATACAGGAAAATTTCAAAGCCCCATGTTTCACAGATATCTGGGAATATCGTATCTTGTCAATATATCATTTTCTAGCAAAATTTTTTCCAATGAATTTTGTTCTTGGTAAATCAGTTTATAATTATTATTTATTTTTTTGTGGATGCAAGCTTTAAGGTTCATCCAGAATAGGCTGCAGAGTTTTTTCCAATAATTATTTTTATTTTACAGCCCCATTTGCACAGATTATTCTGTGTACTCTGCCTGAGAGTCAGGGTTCATCTGCTAAAAGCGCACGGCCAGTTCATTTCAGTTTTCCGAGCATGTTGATAAGTCCACGCCGTACTTGTGCTTGGCAGTCACTGGCTCCAATCTGTCAGCACTGAGTGAACGTATAAAGGAACGGAATTCAGAGGAACGGGGACGCTGATGTAGGGCACCTTGTGGAACAGTACCGTGGTATGATTAATGATACTAATCGATCTGAGGGACAGCAGGACTAGTTTTTCATTCACAGCAACATACATTGTCCACCATTAAGTGGGTAAACGGAGCTGCCAGCGAGGGCCAGCTAGCTCAATGCTTATGATCCTTCCTGTCTTTCAACCTGAAATGCTTGTCTGTTTCATTTGACGGTTTTGTTCTGTTATCTCATGCTTGTCACCCCCTTTTTTTACCCCGTTCTGGCACTGTCTGCTCCTGGGCTGACCATATTAAATTCTAATGCCATTTAATACCCATCTTATAACTGGGATTAGTGAATGGTAATGGAATTTGCCATTTTGCAATGGCTGGTAACCAAACAGCGTCCCAGAGAGTGGAGGGGGGTCCTCTGTGACTCACCTGGCATGTCTTGGCCTCCAAGTTTGTTGTCTCCTTGCATTCTGGCATTTGCCACAGACAGCCTTCAACGAGCAAAATCAAATTTTTCTGCGGTTCTCCTTAAAGCTACAGGGTATTATACACTTGGCAGAAGTTGCATTACGAATTAACATGCCTATTTCTTCTACCAGTTATAATGTTGATTGTTTTATCTGCATTATGGGTTAAAACATCTACAAATTCCAGTGATTTGTTCAAGACCATCTGTTTTGAGGTCAAGACAAGACCCAGTCAAGACCAGCGCCCATCCCAACCAAGACCAAAATAAGACCAAGACTTGAAAATTTAGATTGTTTTTGGTAGGGAACCCATATTGGGGCTGTATTTTCATGTATGTAATTCCAAAAGACCCTATTATTGAAAAACTTTAATGTTCACATGCTCTAAACAATAATGCAGATGCATTTAAAAAACACACAATATAATGAAATCAAGTACACAAAGCCTTCCCCCAGCTCCCTGGCGGCCATAGTAAATTACAACTCTAACAATCAACACTGAACAATAAACACTACCACCAATGTCTAAAACAGTCCAGTATAACAGGATCAGTTGATGATGGATGAGTGAAAGAAATACCTTGTGAGCAGCTCTCTGAAAGGAACGTACCAGTTCCTGATGGGGCGTGAGGTGACTGGGAGCCAGGCCGTAGCCACAGTGTGAAAAATAGTGAGGTCCGGGACCAGGCGATGAGGGGGCTGGGCTGGGTCACACATTACATACAGGAGGCTTGTCTTCTGGGGCGATAAGCAGTGCTAAACTAGTGTTCATATCAACTTTAGGTTACAGCAATTTATGTGGAGCTATTATTTGATATTATATGAATGTGCCTTACTAAATAAATATATCATAAGAACATTACAGAGCATTAAATATTATGGGTATGAAGCATGTATTTTAAGGTTATTTGTAACCATATATAAAGATAAAAATAAAACAAAAATGCTCGATATAAACACACCATTACAAGCCAACATCAAATACACTTTTTATATACAAATTTGGCTTTGAAATGTTTTTAGGGACACTATTTCTGATAACATCACCTTCGTAAGATGTTTATTATTTTTTTTATTAATGACGTTATGTGAAACGTTAGTTAGCCTAATCTAGCCCATTAGGTGTCAATATGAAAGAAACCCAACCTTTAACATGGCCAGAGTAGTCTAGCCTGCGCTTATATCTCACACGTTTCATATAAATGTCTTTACTGTAGACATTATATCAGATCGCCGTTTTGGGACGTTTTTTTTTACAGATAATGATCATTGTTTTGTCTTTGCGAATGATATGCAGCCGGCGCACCCTCCAGCACAGTGCTGCATGGTCACACGCACACGACGTGAATTCGAACTGCTTTCAGTTAAGTCCGCGCGTGCAGTTCACTATAGTCGTGCATCCTCTGTCACGCTGATACTGAATGCTCTAGCTCTCTCTGACACACACAGCAGACACTATAATGACACGTTCAAAATGAATTAAATTTCTGAATTCCTCTGTCCAATAGCGTTATACCGCCGGTGCAGCTGGGAGATGTAGTGCATTTTTAACTAGCGCTGCTACAAGAGGACAATGAGGGAAAATTAATTCCCTCTTAGTGAAGGGAAAGACGTTTATTTGCATATCGATTCAGATAATATGTTTTGTAATATTTCAAGACTTATGGCCAAGACTAAGACAAGCTCAAGACGAAATGGGCTCAAGATCAGATTTAGTGGTCTCGAGACCAAGACCGGATCTCGAGAACTACAACTCTGACAAATTCGCAGGCATCAAACAGGCGGATGTATGGTTAAATTTAGAAAAGTCTTCAAAATTTGCATTAGTTCAATGAGTTTTCCTTTCAGTCCAGGCACCACCTAAGTAAACCTCAGGCTTTTTTTAAAAAAAAACTTTGTCTAAGTAACACATTAACATGAGCAACAGATGTGAAGTTATATTTAACTGGCTCCTCTATTGCGTTTTCTGCTCAAATATGGTGCGGTGTAGTTTCTGTGGGGATGACTGCATGGCCATGGGTTTCCGGAAGGAAGCTGTCCGCCTCATTTTCCTGACACGCTTGCTCAGACCGTGAGCTATTATCGAGGGATTCTTAAAAGGCAATCGCTGATGTGTGAGTGACAGGGCAGTGGCTGCCAGAAGAACTTAATTTCCCGAAAATATTCTATATGAGAAAATTGCAGCCTGTTTTCTTCCAGTGAAGAATCAGGATTGAGAGGCTGCTCCAAAACTCACATCTCCACAGGCAATTGTAGATTTTTTTTTTTAGATGGGGCGGGGGCACAAGAAGGGCCATAATTCATACAGACGGGATTTAGCTTTTCATTAGACAATGATATATTTTGAAATGGTCAGTGAGAGGGGAGGGGGCACTCCAGGGGCCAATTAGCTTACAGTTGCCTCCATGACCCCGCCCCTGAATACGCCCCTTCATCTCTCAAAGTTGTGAAAGCCCACTGTGGTCAGTGCCGGTGGTGTCTGCGGAATGGGACCCCTCCTTTTACCTCACCTGAAACTGACTCGAACCTCAGACCGGGATTCAGCTACCGCAGGTGGGGGGTGGTGGTGGTTAACTTTCTGATGTTGCTGGATATGTTAGACGAAGTGGCTGGGAGGATCATCATGCTATGGAGGGCACATTATTATTAGTGACCTAATGTATATGACATCACTGAGAATAATAACGATGTCATATATGATCAATATACATGTTGCCAGTATCCTCACAAACCTGCCTTTTCCCCTGTTTGTCTTCTGTTTAGTAGTATTAATGGGTCTCAGCGCTCGTGCTACGCTGTACAGCTTGACAAAGCCAGCCCATTATGCGTCCTTATCTTGTGCATCATTCCTGCTACTTACTAAATGTGGAAGTTAGTGTGTCTTGGACTGTTTCGGACTTGCGGGGCTGGAGCCCGGGGATGCTGTCAGAGGAGTTGTGTCGCGTTGAATCATCCGTCGCGCTGCCAGCTCCATCCAGTTGATATGAGGTTTGTCTCACTCCCCGCCCTGTCATCCGGTGCTGTGAGTGGGGGTTTGACTGCAGAAGAATGCGGGTGGCATTATAAAGCCATAGGAATCAGGGTGTAAAATGGCCAATGAGCAAAAGCTCTCCTGCCTGCTCTTGAAGGCATTATGGTTAAAGGGTGAAATTTGAGTGTTCTGGTTCAAATCCTGGAGTATACTATATACCTTAATCTAGGTACTTAACTGGCTCCAGCAAAATAACCAGCTGTCAAATGATGCAAGACTGAGTGCGACAGCTCCAGTTGAGGTGGTCTAACAGATGCATGGACAAGGGGCGTGCTAGCATTAGCGACAAGGGGATTTTTTTTTCTTTTTTTAGATGCAAAGAAATTAGCACAGGCTGGAGGAGAAGGAAACACTCAAAACAAATTATCAAAAAAGCTGCACCGGAGAGAGAACATAGCTCTGGTCCCAATTATTGAAAAAAAAACTCAGAGCGTATCTATTAATAAGAGAGTCAGGAATGTGGGACAGGTGGAAAATATTATTAATGATGATCACTTATAATACTTTTTGCAGAGTAGGATGGTTCACAGGTTTAAACGCAGAAAACACTGAGGCGTTCTGTATGAAAGCGTTCGTCGTCGACAAAGCAGTGAAGAAGCAGCAGAATTCTGTGGTCAAACACCTCCACAGTCAGGCAGATTGGAGATGTGGGTGTGAGTCAGACAGAGAGATGTGCACCAACCCCCCATTCCAGAGACACAGAGGGGGTGGGGTGGAGTGGGGTGGTTTTCATGTAGAGACTTTGAGGCAAAATTGAAAGAAATTGTAGAAAAACGAAGACTGGTAAGAGCTCTTTTTTATGGCCGTTTCCACGTGAATTGTTGACATCGTCTTCGTGATTAGAGTGATTCTTGGCAGATCCTTCCTCTGCCCTACCTAGTGCGTGGTAATTTCCATAAACTCTGCCTCTCCTGCCTCCCCACAAATGATGTCTGTCTTCATTTTGATCCATTAATTCGAAGTAGGTGCCGCTTTGCTTTGCTTGCCTAATAGGAGGAAGTGTTTGATGTTTCAGCAGTTGGAAACACTGGATTAAGTTTCTCACCGTGTCAGTTATCCAAATATGCACACTATGTGAACTGCTAGTAAACGTGCCTAAAAATATCTTCGTACTCGTCCCAGCAGTCTAGTGGGTATGGAGAACACTCGAGTCACACCTGCTAATATGAGTATATCATTGTGAGGTTTGTTGCAGAGTTCCCCAACACGGGTAGCATTGAATAGTGGTATTGATAACACATATGTCTTTTTCTCCAAGAAAAGTGGGACGTGGGCATTCTCTGACAGCTAACGATGGTCCTGAAGCGGGTGCTGATTTTTGGTGTTTATGTTGATGTGATCAGCAGTTGGCAGAAAGTCCCCCTTGTGAATCTGGGACGTCTGTGCTGCTTGGTGCACGGATCTCTGTGAAGATGATGTTGATGTGATTGGGGTTTAGGGTCTTCTTGAGGGGCATGATGGGATAGGAGGTGGGACAGATAGGAGAGCATAAAAATGGGCAGAAGGATGGGTGCGACTTGGATTTCAGTGCTAATACCAAGGCCAGAAACATACACATTGCAGAAACAAGGAACAGGTGGAACTAATCAATACCTGGCTCTTTCTCAGACAACTGTAGGCCTAGTCATCCCCAGCCCCCACCACCCGCCTGCAAATGCATCTTAAGAAGGGCTTGACTGTTAGGTGGACTGACAGGGGGGCAGATGTGTTTGGCCTTGCTGGGTGCCTCTACATATCAGGGTCATAAGGTTGCACCAGGAGGAAGAGTGGAGGATTTCTGGTTAGTCAGTCAGTGCTTCATCTCCCAGATGTCCCAGGAGCATTTGTCAGAAAGGCATCTCCAGGAAGGCCATGACCTACCACAAGTAGAAGGTGAGCAAAATCCCGGCCAGGGTTTATATTTGAAGAAGGTCTTCAATCTACAGATAGTTGACTGGCTACATGTCCACACTGGATCTATATGCATGTATTACTCTCACTCTACACCTGTTATTTTTGAGATTATTATTTCTTTTTCCCTCAAGAATGACATTTCCAGAATCGGTATTCAGACCTGAAAATACCTCATACCTCATCTGGATTAGCTGTTCAGGAAGTGAACTGGGAGATAAACTGATAGACTGAGGACACTGCCATCTCACTTCGGCAGAGCTGGTCGTAAAAGAAGGGCGGGCCACCTTACATTTTTTTTTTAACCACCCCCTACCCCCACCCCCCACCTCAACTCTTTCAAATCTGATACCCCAAATATTTCTGCTGTTGCTATGTTACAACGATGCTATGAGTTTCCCAGCAGGTAACCAGGTCATTTTCTCTTACAAATATCAGCTGGCCATTAATGGGAGGGGGTGAGGGGAAGCTAGCCCACTGCCTCATTCTGTTGTACATGCACACAATGTCAATAAAGTTGACTTTGACATTAGGAGGTGGGACAATGGTCTGCGTGCTCAGGGTTCGTGTTAGCCTGAAGGTTGTGGCGGTATGTGTGTACTCCTGACAAAGAGCGAGCCTGTTCTGATTGGCCAACTCCGTCTGAGCAAACCCGGGTGAGCGTTAGCTGGGCCTCTCCCCAAGCGATGGCGTTGGGGGTCTTGAGGTAGT